TTTAAAACCCCTAAATTGTCGAAATTTTCGAGGGCTTCTCCCCCAGGACCACTCGTGGGGAAATATGACACCTCGTTGAACTCACCGGCCGCCCCCCCCCCCCACCCCGTCGGACAAATCCTGGCGCCACCTCTGGCATCCGCCCCATCTCTTAATTTGAAAATAACTGTCATTCTGTTTCATTTGATCAGATGAAGAAAAACGCGCTTTTCCTTACTCTTTGTGCTTTTCCCAGAAGCGTTTTTAGTAGGCCTAGGTAATATATGCAAAACCCAGGCCTAACTAAAAAATTAAAATTGTCATAGTATGTAACTCAAGTTAAAATAACACTTTTCATTACTCGTGCAGCTTAATCAAATATTATATGTCATTTTAAACGACCCATGGGTATTAACATGGTAACATCAATGTATTTTTTAAAATTAGACAGCGACGTTCTCTCAGACGTTGTTCTGTAGACGTTTATCTGTTGATGACCTTTTGACCTCCTGAATTCTGCAATGAGATTTTCGGGTCGATTCAGCCGAGACGGCCCGAGTGGAGTTTCATGTAAATGTTTCGTACGGGAAAAAAAATAGCGTCCTGCTTGGTGTCCTACGACGTATTCTCTGCATACGTAATTAAAATTGCGTTCCAGAATCTACTCGACGAGGTGACCTTAACGTTCTCGCATGCGAAAATGACTTTTAGTGACATCATTAGGTTCTACTTCCTACCGTCGTCTTGCAATCGGAAGCTCACTCTAATATATAGATCACTATATAACTACACCTTGAATTGGTTGTTAACGTCTATTTAAATAAATAAATGACGAAGTATTTTACTTTAAAGTTATTTACTTCGTCATTTATTCCATTAATTATTTACAATTATGTTTTTTTCATATTTAAACACCAAGATGTACTCAGGCACCGGGAGCATGAACTCTCTCCTCTCCCCACCCGTCACTGATAAAATGCTGTTTATTATACAAATTGATCGAATTACAGACCTTTATATAGGTAGATAGCAATTCACAATATTAGCTTAAAACTATAAAATATAAGGAACATGATTATACTCTAATCTCCAATAAAAGTTTACTACTCTCATTACACGGGGCATCATTTTGATGTTAATTTCAGCTAAATAATGAAAACCTTAATTGATGTTTTGTGGTTGACAGTAGTGGATTTGGGGGGGGGGGGGCAGCAGGCCCTGCCTCTGGATCCCTTCTAAAAGTTTTCAGAGTAAAAAAAATTGAGAAAAAAATAGGAAATTCTACTCAAATTTTGAGTCTAAGAGTGCCATTTCCGGCCACCTAGAGGTGCCATAATCATCATTTTCTTTCCCTCGGCCCCAACCATGGTGAGGCTGAGGTAGTATAGATCCTCCATCTCTGAAAATCTCTGGGCTCTATCTATTTCAATCTTCTGGATCCACTGATTGACGTTTACTATGTTGAATACCGTACGGTTAATGTAATTATGCTACACGACGTGACAGACGTTTTAAAAGAAAAACGTTGCTTTTAATGATCTCAGATACGCCTACATAAACATGTTATAGGACTACTGCAAAGCTTATTCGGCAGTGCGTCACAGTCCTGACATTTAGTATTTTGTTAGATTGTTTGTAATAACAATCACTTAATTGGACTATTCTTGTATGTCGTTGTGGCATTGTAAATTGTATATTATACAACCATGTTGTCTCATTGAAAATCCTGTAATGGTAGACCAAAAGAAAATGATTGCCATGACGCCAGCAAACACAAAACGTCACTTTCTGAACGTTGTAAGAAAATAACGCCAGATATAGCAAAGGTTATACTTAGAAATTAGTAACACTAGTAGAAACGTACAGTTTCTAAGTTACCCTCATAATACTGTAGGTTTTGTAAATAATGTTCTTGTCTTAACATAAATCATACCGGTAATATACATTGCTGTTATAATAATAATTATAATAATAATAATAATAATAATAATAATAATAATAATAATCATAAAGTAGTTGTTTAATGTTGGATAATGAATATTAAGGCGTTGTATACGGTATTTCTGTCTATTGTCTAATCTGATTTCATTGAACAATTAGTAAAATGTGGCATTTCACAATCTAAAAGCAGTAACGATGAATATACATTAAATACCACCATCATTCAAGACTCTCTTTGTGAACATTCTAATATATTTTGTTTGTTTTGTTAGTTTGTTAGGGTTTTCCACATGCATATGCATAACAATCAAATTAATCATTATACAAAATTACAACATTTACGAAACGCAGTCAACTGTTTTATATGGTTCTTATTTACTTAACTCATTGATTAATCTTTTTGTTATTTCACTAATTCTGTTAACGTAGTCAACTTAATTGACATTAGGCCTATTTATTCTAAGAAATGCGTTTATTGTTGAGAATGGTTTTTGAGGGGGCGTTATTCGAGGGAGGCGTTTATTATTTTGGAAAATTGATACTGTAGTATCAAACAAACTAAAGACTATAGTTGATCCAGTAATTGATCCCAACCAGGTCAGAAAAAGTGCAATTCTACTCCTAATAGAGTGTGTTGAGAATGATGTTGTGGATGAAGTTATTTGGCTGCGTTTATTCGAGGAAAAAATGAAACGGACCAGGGCGTGTATTCCAAATGAGCCTCTGGATGGGCGCGTTTATTCGAGGAAGGCGGTTATCCAAAGCGGGTGTTTATTTGTTAAATACGGTTTATTACACAGGTTTGTAACACTTATTAAATTTGCTGTTTTTATATACCGATTAAATAACTCGGTTGGTTAATCCCCCTGGTCAATCAACGGATCACTTGACCGACCGATCAATCAATCAATCAATCAATCAATCAATCAATCAATCAGTCAGTCAAATAAACAATATCTATCTATCATGGAGGTATAATCAACCAATGAGTGAATAAACCATATTTACCGGTATTATTTATGGAATGATAATATAATTTCATTTACTAATTTAATTTGGTGTTTCAATGTGTTCCATATGTGTTTGATCCAATGACCGGGGTTGTAATGTGAAGCGCTTAGAGGCCTTGTAAAGGCATGAAGCGCTATATAAGAACGACATATTATTATTATTACTCCTGCAACTTCTGAACATTCAGAAAGCTGGCAGGAGTAACCGAAATATTCGTGTGTAAATAAAACATGCCGTTTATATTTCCGAAAAGTTGTCTATCCTTCTTTTAAATAGTGTGGCTTTCGTGACTATCATTATTTATATATATAGTAGACCTATAAACATTTATAGGTCTATAATAATACAGGTCCCCCTCTATTTAAAGACCCTCCATTTAAAGATCACCTCCAATTAAAGACCTTGGTGTAATCCAAAACCTGCCAACCCTAAAACCCAATTTTTACTTTTAAAAGTTTATCAAAGTATTTATATCACTTAAAAAACAATTATCTTGGCGTTTAAAGCTTATATTTTTTTTGTGATAATACCGGTATGCCAATTTTTTTGTGTATCATGTGACCAAATTTAAGAAGTACTTAGCAAAAGTGGCGGGACGTAAATCCCAATATTTGCTGATATTTTCAGTCAGAATAATTTCTAAGATTTTAAATTAGGTTTGTTTTATGGTTGGTAATCAATACCGTAGTACAAATTGAGGTAAAAATATGTTTTAGACGCATTTAAACTTAATATTGAAGCATTTTTGTTGGTCAAATTCGTCCAGCCACCAGTTGGAACCAATTAATTTTTTTAGACACTTTACTATGATCTGACTATTTTCATCACATTTTGATGATTTTATAGGTGTAATTTTTGATTTAATTTTAAACCCATTTTATTATTTTCAGTTCCACCACTTATCAGAATTCCGTCCCACACCCTTATGAAGTATAATTTGTTTTTAAAAGTGTTTGCATCGATGCCATTTTAATAACTCTTAACAATATGATTTTAAAGGTGTAATTTATGATTTCGCCTTAAAAAATTATTTTGGAAAAATTAAAACAATTTTAAATTAAAAAAAACAAAAATTAATTCAGCCCCGCCACCGTTTGGAATTCCGTCCCGCCACCATATAAGAACATTGAAAGCTACATTATACCTTAAATGATGTAAAACTGTTGTTGTGATGCCATCATTATAGCGCCTTTATTAATATAACTCTGCCATTTCTGCCAAAAATGTGCAGGCGGTGTGAATAATTATCCCTTAAAATACTAGCTTACAGTACATAAATGCTCTATACCTATAATGATGCTATCAGTGTATTTCTCCAAACCTTTCACGTCTTACCTTCTTAAAATGTTCCATACACCTTTTGCATGAATATTGGCATCAGCAATGTTAATTCTTTTAAATTTTAACGATAAACTTTAATTGTTTGAAGGAAAACATAGAATTTGGGGTGATTTAAAAAAAAATTCCTTCCCACCACTTTCCGTTTCTCCACCCTGACTATTTTATTTAACATTATTATATTCAGCTGAACGATAAACATTGAAATGTATTGATATTGCCTAGTGATGAAAGCATTATATTGCTACTCAAAAGTAGGCCTAAGGTCAAGTTTTGAATACAATTTAAAGTTTGAATTAATTGAGAAGATCTGATTTTTATCCAATTTGTTTATTCCGTCCTGCCACCAAAATGTTTTTCGTTGCCATGGTGATTTAATCATGCGTTTTCTGTTGTTTTACATCAAATTGAAGTACAGTGTAGGTATACCGTGCCTTGCTAAAGATCGGATCGTGAACAAGTTTCATAAACTATAGGCAGTTAGAGAACTAGACTCAAATGAATGTCCAGTTTTACTTCCCGCCACTGGAGTGGGTGGGGTTGGATTGGATTATACCCACAACATTTCTACGGCCCCAAATGAACAGCTATCTATTATTTTCATAAAAAGAATGATTTTTCTAATTGAAGACCAAAGCTGCTAAAGACCATAAAAACCCCGGTCCCAATATCAGTATAAAAAATTTACCGTGGCGCTACTACTTTTAGCATGGCGCCACCAGCGTTAATAATTGTCCACAAAAACATCAAGCAACAAGCAGTGCAAAATTCGCCATTTTGAGAACTTTAGATCAGAATTCCAAGGAGGTTTTTGCTACGCCCATTGACTATTCACTAAGAAAATGAGTGGAAATTCAGCATTAGTAAGGACAGTAGAACAGCTTCGTCGTGAAGCAAGAGTGGAGCGGGTAAATGTCTCAGAAGCTGCAAATGAGTAAGTAAATGCACCGAAAATACATGCACCATTTTTGCAGGCCAACAATACACAAAACAATGATGATTGTCGGTGAACGATGGATAGGATCCTAGGGTCCGGGCAGCAGCACTAACCTCCTGTCTAGGCATAGGTTAGTTTATGCCCTGTAATAGGCTGGGCATATGTTAGCTTATCTCCCAACAAGCCTCTATCCAAAACCCACCAACTAGGAATTAATTTTAATAGCGAGGCTAAGTCTTTGAAGTGAAGAAGACTAAGTACAAAGACAACACAAATAAGACTCAGATAAGATATGGTGCACCCTCACTAATCATCACGAAAATGATAGTTCTGCCTTTAATTTTTTTAAAAATTGTATCTGATTCCAGGTATTAAATAAATATTGAATTGTGTTTCATTTCATAACATTTGTATGCCACATGCATAGGCCTAGTTCTAATTCTACAGTAAAGCTATAATGTATTTTCGAAATTCAATGTAGACTACTTTTTACAGTATTAACAGGTGTTGCTATAGTATAGTATATTACATTTATTTTAAACCAAACTTTATTTAAAAGACAAATAAATTGAATTTTAAAATTAGTAGTTACTTGCATATATGGATTTACTGTTTGTACAATTAAATAGAGCTTGCCCTGTGTCTGCTGGGATTTATTTCTGAGTATTGATTGGCATTTAAAGTTTAATAATAATAATAATAATAGAAAGATTTATACCGCGCCTTTTGCCATGGGATACAAGGCGCTGGCGATGTTGTTATTATTACTCCTGGTCATCGGATCCATGATCAAACCAGCACAAAGTGCAACCTCCTCCACTCACTGTGGAGTATTCCTAGTCGTGCGTGCAATTTAATGCCGATACAGACTAATACTTGCAATGCCACATCGTCCTACCAGGTACCCATTTATACTCCTGGGCGGAGAGAGGCAAACGTACAGTACGTAGGTAAAGTGCCTTGCCCAAGGACACAAGCAATACAACGAGTGTATCTCCCGATCAGGTGATGTGTATCACCTTACACATTGCACCACACGCTCCTACATCGGTTTGTTTATTTACTTCAATGTTCTGTCTTAATTAATGGAAGTGTCCAGATAATTTGCAAATTGTGCACAGGTGCTGTGCAGTTTTATCTATGTAGTGCAATTTGAATGTATTATTATTACAGAATTTTGTTTGTAGGACTGCTCTACAACTAGCTTGATAAGGAAGTTAAAAGTTTAGGTTGGATTAGGTCTAGGTGCCAAGGGTATGCGCTATACAATATACTTCAATGTAAATAGAGTTTTTAATATTTTGCCCAATAAATCATCAATAGGCTCAATAATTTATAGTGTCAATGATTTTAAACACAATTTTCTAGAAAAAGTACTAAAAATGTATATTTTTTTGTGTTTTCCATAAGTTTACTGCAATACGTCAAACAGAATGCAAGTGAAGATTTCCTTCTCAATGGATTCTCAGTTGTATCTAATCCTTTCAAGGAAAAGAAGTCGTGTACAATTGTCTAAGTCCTTGTCAAGCATAAACTGTGCAATCATTTCTTTAGGTGAGTAGTAATAGGTTTTCTTTATTCCTAACTTTCTCAACTTGCCTAGTTGTGGAAATTTAAGTATAAAAAATAGTGTAGTTTCTTAACTTAAACTTATTATTACTATCTATGTATATTTTCTGTTAATTTACATGTCATGTATAAGTTTAAACTGTAAAGGTACAACATTGGAGTGTTTATTTTTAAAAAGTATCAGTATTAAGCCCCTTTCAGATAGACATTGCCGCAGTATTGCGGTAAGCATGCCGGCACAATAACTAATCTATACCCTTTCACACGGCGCCTTTGATACCGCAATATTGTGCTAACCTTACGCTTTTCTGTCTGAAAGGGTCCTATAGAATGGGATAATATTGGCGGTTTAAATACCACTGCGCAATTGTTTTCAACTTTAACCTTGTTTATTTATGCATACAGTAAATGCACACACCGGCTTGATTGCCGCAATATCGAGTACACCCTTTCAGACAGAGCAAGCCAGTAACCGTTACTGCAATAGTGCGGTAATATTACTAGGGTGCAAGGTGGCCTAAAGTAAGCCAGCATATTGGCGTATAGACCCTTTCAGACAGAAACCCATGCTGGCGTGCTTACCGCAATATTGCGGTATTGCAGCCGTGTCTGAAAGGGGCTTTAGTTAAGTGATGCTCACAGCATAATTCCAATTATTTATCCAGATCCTGTAATCAACTTGTTGTAAACATCTGTCCACACACTCAAATTTTCTTGACAAGAAAGTGTTGTATGCCTATAATATATATAGTCATGATGGGCCTATATATAATAAAGTGATGATGTTATGCCCTCATGACCATATTTAGGCATGTCATATGTTTCTGTCCAATCAAATTTGATAACTAGTCTGGACAGGGCTTAATCAAATACACAATAGATTGTCAGCATATATTTATTTTTGGATCTAAATTAGAGTTTGCCACATACTGTAGTAGTTAACCAATCAGTGTAGAGAATTCTGTGTCAAAGCCCATACAGTAAAGGATGGATGAATTATTTAACTATGAATAAAGTAAATGATATGATGCAGGTTACAGAGCTGCTTTAAAATTGTACTGTTTAAACTGTATGGCATTCACGAACGTATGGCATGGGCTTAAATTTTAATATTCCATTTAGATGCAGAATATCATTGTGTCAGCATACTGTGCAGATGTTACATACACACTACTTAATTAGTTAGCTATTGAACCAGTCAGTTCACTCGAGAAGCACATAATAATAATAATAATAATTTGTCTCTGTGCACTAACAATACCTCATTAACATATATACTAATTGGAAAGCTGTAGTAGTCAGGATGTCAATTTAAAAAAAACCTAGTTATTGTCGTATAATCAAGTGAGAAACCTTACAGTGACGGTCTTATTAGTCTTTCGCAAGACTTAACCACGTAAACATAAAGTCAATACAAATTCAACAAGTACTGTAGCTTTAGCATTCTTCAATCTAACATAAATGCAGTACACTGCCGCTAGCAGTTTTATTAATGTTTTGTACCATTAATCAGTTGTGTTTGACTTTGTACCATTAATCAGTTGTTTTTGACGTATAACAAATGAATAATGTATTGTAATTTAAATTAGAATGAATGAATAATTTGTTATTAAATGTGGTACTATTTTTTGTTTGATACTGTAGGTAAGGACACTGTTGGAAAGCACTGGTTTCACTTAATTTTTTTTTTATTGTTTTTTTTTGTTGATAGATTGACCTTGAGTCACTTCGGTGTTTCAGTATCCTGTGATAATCGTAGATGTATCTTGTGTTTTCTTATGTGGTACCATAGTATACAACCATCAGCACTCACCAATTACAAAGGAAGGAATGCCAGTCAACTCGTATCCAAAATCAACTCTTACCATCACATATTGGACAAGTCGTACCTATGTTTGGACAGTACATACCTATGTTTGGACAAGTCGTACCTATGTTTGTTATTAAACATACTGTTTGTAATCACCAAAAATTTAACTTGCAATAATTACCCAACTTTTGAACAAGCCTTCTTTTAGCAGGAATTTCTCTCAACTAAGTATTGAAAATCTCTCCCCTTTATATATGATTTAAATAAACCTACCTCAATAACAGGCAAGTTTCTTTTTTGAGACAGGAATAAAAGTACCAGTTTCTATTACTAGAAAATAATATTTACAACAGGTATATTTGAATTTTGATCCTTGATTTGAATTGTGCTCTCTAATTGTTAAAATATGGACTGAGAAAAGTCGAGAGATGAGTTGGATTGGGTACAAGTTGACTCATGCTGCAAGGAATTACTGACTGACTGACAAACCTAAAACAAACCAGCAGTGTATTTTGTTTTCTTAAGTATTAAACTGATGTTTAACTGTGTTTATGTATTTAAAAAACACAAATTGTTTTGATCATGGAAGAAGTTATTGGTTTATCCATCTTTTAAATATGAAAAGCAACATTTATCATATTGATATTCATAACTTTAAATTAGTGCATATTTTCAAGCCAATTCAGGTTTTTTTTTTTTTGTAGTTGTGCAATACTGAAGGCAGCAGTTACTGTACCGAAACTATATTTAATAATGCGATTACTTGTGCATAGTCAGTTAAACAGGGTTCTTAAACTTATTGTTTGAGATTTAAAGTAAATTCAACGAGACAAATATTATCTCATGTTCGTGGATGATGTAAATATTGACGAGTTACAGAAAGCAAGTCATTTAATATTTGATTTTTTTTTTGGGAAGTGATGTATGAAATAATTATATGGTTACACATAAAGCTGTTGCAACAGCAATATTTCCACATATTTCACTAAGTTTGGTGCTGATTGTAGACAAAGGTAGTGATTTGTTGTTACAAGGTACCCCCCCCCCTCTTATTGTCACACAAGTGTTAACATAACCGCTTGATACAACCATCAAATCAGGGTTAGGGTTTTACCTGTTCATACATGCAAACCAGTTGAAAGCTAAATTGTAGTAAACCACAGTAGTTCACTTTGTTCACTGCATTATCAGTTAAGTTTTTGTCATGTGCACAACATTTTTAATTAAAACTTATGTTATCTGGATTCTACAATCATGCTTTAAATATTTCAAGAGCGAGCAACTAAATCCACCACCGATATTGATAGTTTATTTATTTAATAAATAGTTTACCTTAAAATTGACACTGTGATTACTATTTTAGATAAATGAAGAACTGCATAATGATGATTAATGTAGCAAGTCAGTAATAATATTAATAAAAACTATAATTAATGTTATTAATTATAAAAACTATAATTAATAATGACCAGAGCATTTTAATCCCACCGTGTTGCAATCTCATCTGGCTATGACTCCACAAACTTGTGTGCTACATCTTCAATTTTAACCACCATGTTTTGGGGCACATAATTTAGAAAAAAATATATGTCTTGTTTCTTTTTTTTTTTTCTTTTTCTTTTTTAAATGGGGGTGGGGTGTTAGGTTTTTTGGCCTATATTTGTTAATTTATACTCATCACAAAGGGGCCACTACATACGAAAGAATAATATTTGCCTAATAATATTTAGAAACATGGTTTTTTGGAGTTATTTTCTTTTTGCTGTCTTTAAATGTGTGCAATCTTTGTAGTTTCTAGTAAAAATTTCAAATTAGTTACAGTCCTTATTAGTATTCTAGTTTATGCCAAGCAGGGGAAAACATATGGGTGTTGATTGTGTCTCAGGTGGAATGATGTAATGGTAATATATATAAATGTGCGCTATAATTAAGAAAATATAGCTCTGTGACAAATTCATGGCAATTGCCCATATATGGGCATGATAAAATATTATCACATCCATATTTGGGCATCATTTTGCCATATATGGGAAGTTCACATTTATTTGTCATGTAATATCAAATTTGAAAGTGTGGATAGAGCAAAGATCATGATAACATTGACTATTAAGCTGTGTTTATTTTTTCAGATGTTTGTCAGACTGAACATCTTTGAACAGATTTAGTTTGATAGTTTGTGTGCTAATAACAATACTTGGTCATGTAATATTATTAGAATTCCAGACATCTGTGTGAGTACTTTGATATCAAGAGCCGATGGCTTAACACTTCTGTTATTTAGCATAGAGTAAGTTCTATATAGACAATTCTATAAAGCCAGGTTCGTGCACATACTTGCATAACGTCAGCAAGATGGACCGTTCCGTTAAGCCCTGCCTCTTGGATATTGTTTTCAAGGTCTCAAAAAGCATCAACGTAAACATAAGTAAATGCGCATGTTTGTTGGACAACACGTGTGATACTGACACCAGCACATATGCCTGGCGATTTACTGATTGGTACGCTGGAAAAATTCATTTGAGTAATACAGAACATGGCAAGCGTAAAACATCGTTTTTGTGTTACTTCAGCGTGTGTTACGTTACGGTAGTATTTGCATGAAATATAATTGAATGGTTTGATAATGGCGATTTACCTAAGTAGGCTTCACAGAATCGTGATAGTAGTGTACAATTATAGGCAGCGTGTGTTTTAGTTTTGTTTTAAAATACTTGTCTATGCACTACTGTATTCTTTGTAACAGAGTATCACAATGAATTTTCACTATTTCAAGAAATACAATTATTTTTGTGCTTGGTTACGGCACTTATTTACAATTTATCACTTTGATATTTTATTTGCATATGGTTGTAAGTTTAGCCATGTAGTCAGTATATTAATGCATGACTTGTGGAATAAAGTTAGCTTACATGGTTATCGTAATTGATGAGTCAATTCTATGTTTGAAATGTACATGCGAGGATTTACACAGTTGATGAGGATGTTGAAGAAGACGGCGGCGGCGGCGATAATCAGCTATTTCATGGGTTTCTGCCGTTAAAGGCTCGCTACCTAAAGCAAATCAACAAAAAAATAGTTATTATTAAACACTAAAATACATAATAACATTAAAATACTAATATAAATACATTTTAGTGGTAAAACCCCAAGTACAGTACTTTGAAACTTACACAGTCATTAAAACCTTCAAATTCTGTATAATTTCTTCCTAATAACAATTTCTCTTTTAAAATGTGATGTATTTGTATAGCGCCTTACATAATCAGTCAATTCTTAGAATTTAATATTATCTATTTCCTAAATGACCACATCTTAATTTCCACGCCCTCTTTACATATTATATGTTTAACAGGAAGTACCAAACGTGATACATTGGCCTATCAATGACTTTTTTTCATTGTTTTTGTAAGGGATTGCTACTTGTAGGCCTAATAGTCCGTAATTATCAAAATTCATTTATCATTTGATTTGAGAATTAAGAATATAATAAACAAAATACAATGTGGAACCAATTATTTTACAATAATATTGAAAACAAGTATTCAAGCAATAAACAGAAAATATATACAATCAACTCTATGGTGACAGTGATCTAAGTCACTTCCAAGATATTCCATCCGCGAATCAACAATGAATTTTCGATTTGCGCGACGAATTGAACACACAACAGATTCGCTCACCCATGACCGTCCTGTGTTCTCTGTGTACATTCGTGCCAAACTGCGTACGTAATCACGTGCGTTTGTGCGTATCCCAGGCCCTGCTGATTTGTTGATGAATTTGACACTCTGGAAACGTCCATTCAGATGACAATGAAAACTCAACGTTGATGCAAACGCAGATTACTTTTATGTCACAAACGCAGATTACTTTATATCACGCCATTGCATTACTTTCTACATCTTTACCGTCGTCCTTGCAATCGAAACTCATCCAGTATTGACAAACAATAGTACACAACGGTTAATTAAATAATTGCTTCGCCGTTCATTCATAAACAACATGATGAGGACGTTGTTCAATATTAAGTATGTAAGATTTAAACAAGATTTACAGTGGGCCGATAATTGATAATAATGATGATGCATGATTATGATAATGATCATGAAGAACTTGATAAGGATGGGTGATGATCGACCCAATGATGATTATAAGGACAACAATGATTGGTCAGACCACAGAGAATGTACCTATTTACCTCAACATTTTATTTTTGAGGTATTTTACTGGGGTTTTTTTTGACATAAATAAATAAATAAGGATTAATATATAAAATATAACAACACCTGCAGTAGCGGTGCCCATCTAAAGATTAATGTATAAAATATAACAACACCTGCAGTAGCGGTGCCTGTAATGCAGTAGCGGTGCCCATCTAAGGATTAATATATAAAATATAACAACACCTGCAGTAAGCGGTACCCATAATGCAGTAGCGGTGCCCATCTAAGGATTTAATATAATATAAAATATAACAACACCTGCAGTACTGGTGCCCATAATTCAGTAGCGGTCTCCATCTAATGATTAATATATAACATATAACAACACCTACTGTAGCAGTACCTATAATGCAATGTAGTGCCCATCTAAGGATTAATATATAAAATATAAAAACACATGCAGTAGTGGTACCCATAATGCAGTAGCTGTGCCCATCTAATGATTTAATATATAAAATATAACAACACCTGCAGCAGCGGTGCCCATAACTGCAATAGTGGTGCCCATCTAAGATTATCGTGTAAAATATAATAACACCTGCAGCAGTGGTGCCATTAATGCAATAGCGGTGCCCATCTAAGAATTTAATATATAAAATATAACAACACCTGCAGTACTGGTGCCCATAATACAGTAGCGGTGCCCATCTAGGGATTAATGTATAACAACACCTACAGTAGCGGTGCCTATAATGCAGTAGCGGTGCCCATCTAAGGATTAATATATAAAATATAACAACACATGCAGTAGTGGTGCCCATAATGCAGTAGCTGTGCCCATCTAATGATTTAATATATAAAATATAACAACACCTGCAGCAGCGGTGCCCATAACTGCAATAGTGGTGCCCATCAAAGATTAACGTGTAAAATATAACACCTGCAGTAGTGTCTTGGTGGAACTAATAATTTATTTGATTCTTTTCAGGGACCTATCCTGGGGAGGGGGACCGATGTGAGCCGCGGCTCCCCAATTGTACACAGTGTTAGTATTTTAAAGCTTGTTTTTTGCTAGCCAAAACACATTCTTCCCTGGGATCACTCAAAATGAATTACTTCTAAAATATGTAAATATGCATCAGCACACGTTATACGCAAATACTAATAACAGGCAAATTAGAAATACATATAGAACATAGTTTGTTATAACCATCATTCTCTATGTTATAACTCATTTTGCTGACCTACGCTATCTGATGGTGATAGTCAACTCCGAGGACGACGACGTGTCACTTTTATGGGATTACAAATTTAAAACAAAAAAAATCCCAAAAAACAAAAACAAAAAAAAACACAGAGTTTGGTGATGATTTAAAATACTGTGCAATTTCTAATTGACTCCTACGTTTGTGACCCGTGCTCTCAAAAGCGTCGATCCGTGGTTGAGGGGGGGGGGGGGGGGGGGGGGGGCGAATTGCAAAATAAGAATGCCTTGGGCCGTAGGTTGAGCCAGGGGCTCTTAGGACCCCTGATAGTGGCCTAGAGGGTGAGGCCACCGGAAATTCTGGCGCCTGTAGCCTTTTATAAGTCGTATCTAATTGATTTTAATTAATGAAATTAACATTTAAGCCTATTTCTACACTAAATTGGGGACCAGGCTTATACACATCTAGATGTGTATAAGAGGGGACTTTTAAGGCTAGGACTGTTAGACTTGTCCAGGTAACATAATCGTGCCCGCTTATATATTTTGTGCAAACTAACATTCATAAAAAGACGTATTCGAACCATGAAAAACAAATAACAGTAGCTCCATATCCGTAGCTTCATTATCTCCATATCGTCATCATTAGTAGGCCTAGTAGTTTGAACAAAACTTTATAAAAGCTTGCAAAAGGATAAACAAAACTGACCATAGGGTTCAGTTTTGTTTATCCTTTTGCAAGCTTTTATAAAGTTTTGTTCAATAAAACTACTAGGCCTACTAATGATGACGATATGGAAATAATGATAATAGATACGGTAATAATATTAATAATACTAAAAAGTGAAGAAAATTGTGTTAAAAGCGAAAAAGAAATTTGTAATTTGTCTAATAATTATAATTATTATTGTAGTTAAAGCTTAGTATAAGCTATAGTTAGGACTAAGTTGTCCTGGGTTACCAGATCTCTATGTTTGTCCAAAAATCCCTGATAAAATATCATGATGAATTTCTTGGCGTTTCATTTTGACTATATAATGCCATGGTGATGTGATGATGATGAATTTTACTATATAAAAGTGTCATTTCCGTCCATTTAGAGGTACTATTTCCTCAAAAGTTGGACTCACAGCTTTGAAGTGTGTAAAGTAAATACATATAAGACAATGTTTTAAAGTTTTATTTTCTATGATGCATTACACATTAATTAGATCGGAATTTAATAAATGATGAGACATTTGTTGGCGATTTATTTGACTATATATAAAATGGTGATATGATGATGATGAATTTACTATAAAAAGGTGTCATTTCCGGTCTTCTAGAGATACTATTTCGTCAAAGGTTCGCGCCCGGCTCAGTTCCAACCATGGTGAGGTTAATGGCTCGACCATAAATCTGTGATGCTGAGTCCCTTGGCCAGTGGCCACCTCTCTTTCGAATTCCTGAATCCGCCACTGTTGATTTTCATTATAATTATTGTCTGGTCTACTAATTTATGATTGTGCAGTGAGTGAGTATATCCGAAATAACTAATGACATTTTTGTTAAATAATGGTTATTAATTTTTAGAGAAAATAATATTTCATGTATTGTATTATGAGGCATTAAAAATCATCTACAGCCCCCTCTAGAATAACGACGAAAAGCTGGTCAGAGGAGTAAATAAACACAAACATGTGCACGTCGCACACGTCGTACGTCACCACACCCGTATGACCTCATTGACTAAAGTTGAAGAGTGGATGAATTAATACGCATAATATTTTTTAATATTTAAGGCACTTTTTGAATAAATCTGTAATAATATAACATTATGATTGATTAAGACATAAAACTGATTACATGAAATAATAAATTATACTTTAATTGTTTTCTAACAATGATCTTACATGTAATTTACTTTTAATAAGCGGAGGTTTTGGGATTGTGTTGCCTGTGGTGTAAATAAACTTTCAACCGCCATCAAACGGAAGTTATGAGGGGTGGATACTGCTGTTGTTAAGAACCAAAGAGAGCACCGCATTGTATTTCTTATTGTGTTTTTGACAGTAGTTTTGCTCGAAGATGAAGTGAAGTATTCTTTTTTAAATATTCGTACATTTGCTTTCATCTGTAATCCAAAGAGCAAGATACTTTTTTCCGTTTTGTTTATTGAAACTCTCAACCCCGGAAGTTGGTAAGAATAGGGCACGCTTGTTTGAAACAGACACTTTAATAATTAATTTTATATTTGTATATTACTATTATTCTAGAAATGCAAGTGTTAGGATTGACAAAATTAATTCACCGTTGCATGTTTTGGTACAATTTTCTTTTCTATTCTTAAACCCACAGTAACTAAATAGATTTATTCTAGGCCTAGCCTAAAACGTAGCCTAGGCCTCCGCCATAATGTGGCATGCATGAAACCTTGTTGTTTGTTGGGCAAGCATGTACAACAGTCTGGGCTAGGCGCGGTCATGGCTAGGCCTAGCCTAGACCTACACTTTTAAACTCTAAACTCTGTGATACATATACTATATAACAGAAGAAAAGTTTAATAATTATACTGTATTCACAACAGTTAATCATTTGATTACATATGTAGGCCTACTGTAGTGTAGTGTTTTATACTTCACTTACACTAGGACTACAGAACAAAAGCGTGTGGGTGTACTCTGTTCCGTTTTGAGGCCTGCTTGGCCCTGTGTCATTGGCAATATGTTTTAGCCTCAATCTTGTTTTAAACGTTTCCCTTTGTTGCATTTAATCTCCAATAATTTAACCCTCCATTTAAAAGAAGAATGACGATTGTACTTTTTAAATTAAAAATAAAGAATTTTTTTCAATTTTACTTTTAGTATTTCCATTATTTAGGCTGCACAGTGTGTACACAAAAGGTTGTTGTAATTTTGTTTTACCATACGCACTGATTGAATTACGGATGAATCGGACAAAACACAAAAGCCCTGTGCTTTCCCTAGACCTATTAATTTGTGTTATTGTTTTATATATATTTTATAACACTGAACACTGTAAGTTAACATGTCTGTACACAAAATGTTGTTCTCTTTTCCCAATATTTCTAAAAATATTTCTCTATGATTACAGGCAATTTTGAGTAGTACTTAACCCTGAAAAAACAAGATTCCAGACTGTAAATAAGGCCTGTGTAGAAAATATGTCCTACGCATGAAAATTAGGCCTAGAAACCTCTCCACACATTTGAGAAAATAAGGGTTAATTTCTGCACACATTTTGCAAAAATTAGGCTTATCTCATTATATAAAAGACCAATGTATTATGCAGTCAATTCTGCGCACCTATTTTCCTAGTGATTTTGCACAAACTTTTAGCTATTTTCTGATGTATTGCAGCACAATTAAAATACTTTAGTAAGGACCAGGTTTGAGTATTATTACATGATTATTTGTTAATCTTTTAAAGTGGTGGTCTTCCTTTTGATTTTGATAAATTATTCTAGATTTTGTGAACATTATTGGCCAAGACCATGAATATATCATTGCAATGTAGATTTGTCTATTAATGGCTAATTATTAAAAGTAGTTGATTAGAGATCGAAGGAAATAATATATAATATAAGTCAATCTTGACGTCATCACTGCAACTCCCCAATGTTATTTGCCTATCCCCCACCGTCCACTAATTTTTCAAATTAGTGGAAGCTTGGCTTGATTTTTTTTAGGTTCTTGTGCAAAAAAAAAAATTCCTCATTTTTTTCGTCACCGCAAAGACATCGTGCACTGCGATAAAAATTGAATTGTAATTTAAAATTACTTTCATAAAACAAGGTTAATTAGAACCCGAAGAAAGCACAAATCGGCATACGCACAAAATATAAATACGCACACGGTATACTGATCATATCACTATAGCAACTGATGGCTGGTGTACAACACAGTTATAAAAACTAACATTAGAAGACGGCGATAGACTTAGCAATTAGTAGAGCATACATCGTGCACTAGCAGAAAATTATTATACTTAGGTTAGATTTAATTCATTCAAAATTTCCTTCGGCCCTTGCAGGCCCTCAGGAAATTTTTTCAAGCATTAAATCTAACCTTCGTATAATAATTTTCCTATAGTGTACTATGCGGAGCTCTACTAATTGCTTATTATTATTAAGATTTCTTTTTTAACATTGTTGTGTAGTATTATAAGTGCCCAAATTTGAAGTTTGTAAATATGTATTTCATATTGCTTAACAATAAATGAAATCTGAATGTTACTGTACTGTACAGATACATGTTAAGTTGTCATCGGTGATCAAGGAAATAAAGAGTTTCACTATCTTGTTTGGAAATGAGCTACTATGAAAAGTAAAAATTTTTCAGTATGGCAAAACTAGTAGTGAAATTCTTCTGTAAAATGGAATGTGTCAAAGTTCATTTCATTTGACAAATGACCAATAGGGAGGTTTGGATTGCACGATGATGGTAGGACGTACTGTAGAACGTAATGACGTCACTAAGAGTCACCTGCGTATGCGAGAATGTTAAGTTCTTCTCGTCAAGTGGATTCTAGAACATAGTTTGGCCAAATCTACATATGCAAAGAACGTAGAACGCTTGGTAGGATGGTCACACATGAGTGATTCCGTCACGCTAATCGAAATCTCCCTATTAATAATAATGGATGTTATAATGTTTGTGTTTGTTATATTTTGTATATAGAAGCATCCAGTGATACTAAGCCGAGTTTGCATTTGAGGACCAACTCAACCCAATCGACATATTTGGCAGATTAACAACATTCATGCCAAAATGGGAAAAATATTATCCAAAATTTTTGGCAATAAAGAAATGAGAATCCTAATGCTTGGATTAGATGCAGCTGGAAAAACAAGTATCCTTTCTGAATATTAATTAGGAACTTTAAGATTAGTTTTGTCATAATCTATAAATTTCTGAAAAAATGAAGTACAGTTGAACTTGCCTATGTCGAATCCAAAATGCCATTGAAAAGTTTTTGGACTTAGATAAAATTTACAGATTGCTAATTAATGAAAAACACAACAATTTTGCATGTAATATAAGATCGACCTCGAAATTTTTTGAGTTATTAAAGCAAAGTCGACTTAGGTAAGTTTAACTGTAATTACAAAGGTATAGTATGAAGTGCATGGCCAATAAATAATAATAGATAAGTTAACACCACAGCTGCAGAAACAACTACATTAAAAAAGGGTTAGATTTAGGTAAATTTTCATTTGAACCCACACCTAATTGTTTAGACGAGACTTTTTTATACATTGTTTAGCGAATTCGCCGCATGCCTATTTTTTGGCCAATTTAGCGCACCCGGTGCCATGAAAAAATGTAAATGTTAGAAAAAAAATTAATGTTTTACTTTATTTTTATTACGTCTGCCTCTGCCTTGAAATCTAAAAAAGATTGTATATTTCTTCCTAAATTACATAAATTTTAAGCATTTAACCATTCTATTACCGCAATGTTTGCATTCACCAGTAAAATATTTTTATTTTCTCCTCCATCTGGATGTTTTTGGCAAAGCTATTTGTTAAAGAAAACAAAATTTTATTTTTATTTTTTTTTTTCAACCCTACTCTGACGATCTTTAAAAAAAACAAATTCACAAAACAAGGTACTGTATAAAAAGTGCTTTGCCTTATTTTAGATGTGTAGTATATTCTCATTTGGTGACACATTTTCATCTTCCATCTCATCATCTCCAATCAGCACATTAGTTGTTTATATGCCATATTATTTTTTTTTAGTTGTATTTGGTCACACATCACATTATCCACTTTCTCCAGAAATCATTTAGATTACCGTAAAGGCTCGAATAAGCTGCGCTTACAACATTTTTGGAGGATTCAGTGCTGCGCTTATTCGTTTTAGTATTGTAAACATTGTATTCAAAAGTTTTTCTCAAAGTGTTTGATTACACATAGGGTAATATAATACCCTCGACTAAGCACCGCAGCGCTTATTCGAGAGCGGCGCTTAGCAAACAAATTTGGCTTGGTGCCGAGCTTCTTCAAGCATTTACGGTATTGCCATTTTGGCAGAATTGCTTAAAAAATGCTTTGTTCTTCCCTTTGTCAATCTATTTTGACTTCAGGAAAGAAATACATTCTGTACAGTAGTGTTTGAAGTTGAAATATATAATTTGCATGAACAAAAGTTGCCAGTACTTTAATAATTATGTGCAATACAATCTATTGCCAACCATTGAATTGGCTTAAATAAATAAAAAATATCATCATTTTTTTGAAGATTTTAAGGGGATTAATTAAATTTTTTATGGGCCAAATGTAAAAAAAAAGATGTAGGTGCTATAGATATAAGTAGTAGTATTATTTAACATGAAAGTGTTAATAATTAGCTATAATAATATTATGAATAATAATGAATACATCCATCATGCTGGTATCTGTTCCAAGGATTCTTTAGAGTCTATGTTAAATCCAAAATTTGTAAAGTAATACTAATAGAAATGTTTGAAATACACACGTGATGGCTGTGAAACTTTGTGGTCACATAACATTTTCAGGAAATTAGTTTCATAGAGGGCGGAGTCTGAAAGAGGAATCGGTACATTTCCCATGGGGCCTCTTGTCCTTGTTGACCTTGAGAAGTGAATTTTTTAGCAGATTTAAGTGAATTACTTCCAGGAGAATATGGTAAACATCAAATACTGTTCAGTAGGCTGGTGGTGATAACTGGGAAACCATAGAGAGGTTTAATTCTAAAGATCACTCACAAGCTCCACAAGCATCCGAAATAATTGATAAAAAATTAGATTGAAATAGTGCAAAATCTTTCCCTCAAAACAGTTTTTGCATTCTGCAGTGTTTTCGACCAGCATATGATAAACAATTAAGAGATAATGTTCTATGCTATAATAATATAATGTCTCGCAATCTTTAGATAGAAAGGTATTATAATGTACTGTATATGGCAGAGAACAGCTTACCTCAGTTGGCTAAACTGTGTGTCCGCTGAGCCAAAGAGATCTCTAGTTCCCCCTGGTTGGCGATCTCTAGTTCCCCTGGTTGGCGATCTCTAGTTCCCCCTGGCTAAATTCAATTCCCAAATGGTTGCAAATTCCAAGCCAATATTTGTTACTGTACATATTATTTATTATTGGGTGATGCAAGTTATGTTTGCCTCTCTGGCCATGCTTAGTACCAGTACTAAGTGTAAGTGGTTACCTGCTAAAAGGTGATTTTTTTGGTGTCTGTTAGATTACATGCATGGCTAGGTATACTCACCAGGGTGCTGATTTGATTGTGTCTTGTGCATGATTAATCCACTGATTGGTGGAAAAGCACATTTTAACCCGGAAAATGAAGTTTAATTGTATAATATGCCAGCTCTTTTTTTTTAAGTATCTAGAAACACTTGATCCTGTGTTTCTAGCTCTTTTATAAGTTGAAAGCACCTACAGTAATGTGGATACAGGTACGCAGATGCTTAACTTAGCATTGTAAGCTGAGGTTCATGCACACTTTAAGCATTGAAAACTAAAACTTCAATCAAATAAACATGAATACCAATGTCATTGCTATAAAAATATTCTTGTTTACTTCCTGTAGTAAGTATTATTTAAAACATTATAATAGAAAGTACTATTATTTTTGTTATTACTGTAATGTATATTTTCTTAACATGTACACTAAAACTGATGGAAAAAGATATTGACAAAAAATATAAAAGAAAAAGCAATATTTATTTTGTTTATTGAATCATAAACATGTTCAGTGCTGTGATATATTCCTTAATCTTTTATCCAGCTATTCTCTATAAATTAAAATTAGGGCAGTCAGTAACAACCATTCCAACAGTGGGTTTCAATGTGGAAACAGTTACATACAAAAATGTTAAGTTTAATGTATGGGTAAGTGTACTTTACTGTTTTATTTAGACATTTCCTTATAGAGTACAGCAACACTTGACTGGCTTTTATATAATGTGTGTTGAGATTGCAATGAAAAGATATAAATTATTGTAAGATTATTAACAGGTTTTGGGATTCCTTTATTAGGCTTGCCAGCCCAGTACCAGTGTACTGTACTGTTGCTAATGTTAAACTGAGTAATTTGCATAAGAATGAGGCAGTATTGTACTGTATACTTTAGTACAGAGAAGTCCTAATACTTTTACTCATAACTTTGGCAATAGTATGTCTTCTCATTTTAGAGCTTATAATCTGGAGAATATGAATATAATTAATATAATTAATATAATTTTCATGTTTCAGTCACTGATGCTGGTTTTGGCATGTCAAGCCCCAATATGAACGTGTTCTACTTTATGTGTTCTGGCTTATATTTGACACCTTTCCAAGAATCTTGCTACTCTGTTAAAGACATTTTTTCAGAAACAGTGTAATAACCTGTATTAGCTAATAGCTGGTTCCGTTACCTCTATTCTCCACTTCTCAGTCAAAAGCCAGGCACTTGATGCAGTAATGTAACATAATTAACTTCCTTTTCTATGACCGTAATTCCTGTGTATAACCATAATTTCCAACACAGATTCTTCCTGGTGAAAAAATACAGTTGAATTGTTTCTCATTACAGGATGTTGGTGGTCAGGACAAAATTAGGCCGCTGTGGCGACATTACTACACAGGCACTCAAGGCCTGATTTTTGTTGTAGATTGTGCCGACAGAGATCGAGTAGATGAAGCAAGGCAAGAACTACATAAGATAATCAATGATAGGGAAATGAAGGATGCAATTATCTTAATATTCGCAAACAAACAAGATTTACCGGAATGTAAGTAGATTACCGGTAACTTATAATTTTGTCGTCTTGTGGCCAACTTGGAAGCTGAACCTTCGCTCAGTCAGCTGGTGAGATTCGCAATGTGTGTGTGTGTGCTGAACTGTGGTCTTTACATAATGTTGGTCAGCTGTTTAATTCCGTCTGCTGCTCTCCTTCCTTTTGTCGTCCTAGGTAGAGTGCTGTAATGGAGGTTTCTGTAACGCATTGTCTTTGAAATGAGACATCCATTTTGTTGTTGTTGCAATTGTTGTCGTTGCCATTGTTGTCCTTCTGTTCCGAATACCGTAAGCCTTGAGGTCTTTGACGTGCACATGATCCGGATTCCACACAAGACCAATGCATTAAATGTCTTATCCAAAGGATCGTGTGCCATTGAAACTTGTATTTGAGCTCTCCAGCTGAATCACAAGGAGAGCAAAAGATAATATAATAGTAATAATAATAATAATAATAATAATAATCATAATCATAATTAAAATAATCATAATCGTAACCATATCATCATCATCATTGTCTTATGGGGTGCATATTGTGGAAACCTCTATGATCTTAACATTATTACCCCTGGTCATTGGATCAAGCAAATATGGAACACATTCCATAATGTTGCAGCTGTAATGTAGTGCATTTTGTGTTTCAACCTACCAGGTACCCACCTGTACTCCAGTCCTCGGTAGAGAGAGACTACCGTAGGTAAAGTGCCTTGCCTAAGGACACAAGCGAAATGCACAGTGAGGGGTTGAACGTCCAACTCAAGGTTGAGAAACAGAACTGCAAATACTGCGCCAAACCTCTCTGTCTACCACCATTTTAGCTGACTGATCTAAAGCTGCTATCTATTCTACCTTTAGGTTGATTTTTTTGAAGACAAATATACTTTTTAAAATGTTTATTATATAATATTTATTGCTATTCTTTTTGCAGCTATGAAACCACATGAAATTCAAGAAAAATTGGGCCTTACACGTATACGGGATCGCAACTGGTTTGTCCAACCATCGTGTGCAACTACAGGTGATGGTCTTTATGAAGGTTTGATGTGGCTGACTTCAAATCACAAATCTTAATGATGTCTTTTTTTCTTTATCAACCTATGTACATACAAATTATTTACATGAGTATAGTGGAGAGATCTATGGAGAAGTACGTGACTGAAAAAAAAAACACCAGTGCGTGATGTTTCTGCTCCATGTGCAAATGTCCAACCAAGTTATTTATAATTGGACCTCTACATATCCACAACCTAAGAATAACTTTAAATTACTGAACTATAAAGTGGAATTAAGGTGCATTTAAAAAAGCCAATTATACTTCTCTCTGCAAATTATAAACATATTTATACTATTAAGAAATCTGGCCAAATTAATGGGCTGGATTTTGAAACTAATTTTCATTGCAGAAAACACAACATCAATATGTCAGTAGAAATGTAATAATTTCAAATTGATTTACTTAATCTTTTTGGAATATTAATATTAATCTACATGATCAGTTTTGATAAATATTTACTATATGATGTTTATACTTTTGGTGATTTTTTTAAAGTATAGCATTTTGGGACTACTGTGAAGCTTCCTTTTGACTTGACAACTACAATAAATATTGTTTATATGATTTTCAATATTTGAAATCTGCACCAAAGATGTATACTTTAATTTCCCCTGTACCCAGGCGTTTTAATCTGATAGTTAACATGATGTTCATAATACTGTGGCCCCGCCCCCTTTCTGCTACCCAGGGACCATATGCTGTGCCATAGGCGATATTGCTATTAATTTTATGATTGAGTAATACCGGTAATAAGTTACAAATCTTCTTTGTTAAGGCCAAAAAAAATAAATTTTTATGTTGGTCACGTTTTGAAAAAAAAACCCCCAAAATTTTTTTTTTTTAAAAATCAATAATGTGTTTACATTTAAAAAGTATAAAATACACAAAATAATACAACAAATTTGGATTCGCATCACGTACCATCCACCAAAATAGGCTAGGCCTTGGCCTCCTAGCCTACAGTCCTAGCCTGTCCATGGCTATTTCAGCCTTATTAGCTCATAAAAAAAATATTGTTCCTTGTAGTAAAAAATTTCGTAAAATTTGGGTCGGTCGGCCAACACAATTTTTTTTTTAATTTGGCCTAATTTATCACGATTTGCTCATAAATTCATGTCATAATTGAAAAAAAAATATTTGAAATACTGTACATTTTCTACCACATAACTATTGATATCTAACTTTTTATTCCAAAATTAAAAAATAAATTCAGTATGAATTCTATATTTGAGGTGAACATGACCGTACTTCCATAACAATGGGTCACAATATTGATGAAAGGTGAAATTATAAGAAAATTTGAAAACATGGACTGTATACGGAGTGTAAAGTACTACAAATATGCGCACTTATTCTTTCTCCTATACACTGATTGCTACCCGGAAATTGATTCAGAGTGTAAATCCTCAGAATATAAATATTCGCATATCTGACCTCGAGAATGTTGTTTTCTGAGTAATTACCATTGGTTGAAACTGCAATGCCTGAGAAACGTGACCAGTCCAAACCTTCTAATCATTGTAAAGCTTTTGCTGATGACTTCAGTCAATTGTCAATACAGTAATGTAACATCATTAGTGTTACCTTACAGCATGTCCACACTATCAAGAGTTATGTAACAAATTTGTATGACATCATCATGTCTATATTAGTGTGGTATGACATCATCATGCTCATATATGAGCAAATCACACAAATGCTATACGGTAATCACTTGTAATTCCTGTGGCTGATGCTGGCTCCAAGTTTTGCTTGGAGTTCAGTCAGATATTAACCCAACAAATTTCATTTGTTGGGTTATTCTACTCTTTAAGGCCAACTCGGACAGTGTTGTACGGCACAGCCTGATGTGATGTATTGTCAGATCAGAGACAGCCTGTAGGTCGTCGTGAGAATATTAAACATGTTTAATATTGTATGACGCGATTATCCCCGGTGCAGGCCTATTGCGTCATCATTTAACTCGCACAGACACAACTCGACAAGAAATCACATTATTATTCTTATATATTACTCTACCAATCTGGTTGATGTTGAAGTACCATAGAAATGACATTCATAAAAGCCAACATGAACTATATTATCATAAGCAGTTTTGGCACTCTGTGCTTCCTCTTCGTATACAAATATCTGTCCTAAAATGATGTATCATGTGCAGTAAAGCGACCTCAACGGGACAGTCCTGGGAGCAATAATAATTCTCATGCAAAATGGCCAACTTGTTATTACAGAAACTAGCAAAATGAACATGGCAAGGCTAAACAGGTGCAAATACATGTTGACAAACACTATTATTGAACATTTCTATTTTGAAATTATTCTGTTTTTCATTAACAAAATAGTTTTATGGCCTAGCTGAGTGCATATTGCCTCGAAACACTACAATTGTACAATGACACCTTTTATTTTCGTAGTTTTTGTTTTTTTCAAATAAATTCATTTACAATAGATAGCTATACAATTTTCTAGCCAATTTTTAGTGGTTTGTATACTCACTGTTAATATTAAGTAGGTATAGAAACCTTGAGCTGTATATAATGTGTTTAATGCCAATGTACCCATGCTTTCTCACTTTCTTGATCAATATTTAAGAGTCTCATGCAAAAAAATATATAAATAAGAAAATACAGAATTTTGAGAAAACATTTTTAAATTACATTTGATTTATTTAAATGTATCGTGTTTCTGATGTTGCTCAGATTCAAACCCATGTACTGTAAAATGTTAAGATTTGGCTGAAATCTTGTATTTTTTGTTTTAATTCACGTCCAAAAGGCTTAGGGATTTGTCTTTAGTTGTGGGATAAAAATCCTTGTATGTAGATGGTATGAATCCAGGAGCCTAGGATCGTAAGGATCTCCACTAATAAACTGATATTTTTGCTGTTGAATCTGCTGCAAATTTAAAAGGAATGTCAAGGCCGATTAATTTGATGCTTTTAGCTTTCATATAATGTATGTTTGATATTACAAATTTAGTGTGTAATTATTATAAATTTATTGTTTAATTTGTGGAATTTAATTTCAGGGTTTTAACAAGGAAATACAATTTGTATCAATAATTTATTAAGATTTTTTTTCATTTTTGTAATGCATTTATAAGGATATATTACACATAAGGTATGATTTAATAGTGGTTCTTCACTTCAAACAACATTTTTTTTTCAAATTGTGAATATAATTTAGCTACAAAAATGGATTAATTTGGAAGTTTAGTCCACACTATCAAGTTGAATGTGACCAATGTGTGTGATTTGCCCTTATATAGGTTTTGCTATGATGTCATCATGCCCAAATATGGGCAAATCACACAAAATTTTTTTGCATGCAATTTTATACAGTAGTGTGGACCAAGCCTCAATGTTTGCGTAAAGTTTGGCATGTCAGATTTTATTTTTTGTGTGCCATACTCTACAGAAAGTCTTTGATCAAACTTAGTCTGAATGTGTATGCTTCTTTCAGACATATCCAGTAAAATAGTGTCTTCTAGTGGCTGATCAAAGTTAGACAGTGTTTGACTTTATCGCACACAGTTTTGATAAAATTTGACAGACAGTAGTGAATGACTGATTTAAAGGATTAGCACAACATGCAGTATATTTAATCCACTATTGCGGTGATAATCTTGGTTGTGTATTATATGCATTGATTATTTAAAACATTTTTGTTTCAAAATGTTTGAATATTTTATTAAGAATTTGGGGATTCGTTTCAGTGACTCGTAGCATTATTGATTAAAAAGTTTAAAAAGTAACGTGATCTGTTTCAATTTTGTTTTCAAAACAAATACTGATAACAGTCGTTTGTTTTATAAATTATCCTTTATTCCAAGCAGGTGGCTGTGATGTGGTGTGTTAACCCCCTTGGTGCTTCTCAGCCCCTTCTCTCTGTTGTATAAATATACGTCGTTTCCTTTCTATTCATTGTATACTTCCTCGAATTGTCTGATTATTTTTTATACTGTACACATTATATAGATTGTATATGATTCCGATGAATTGTTGTCAAAAGGCAACACATTACAGTGCATGTGAATTATGAATTGGCTTCACCTAAACTGAATGATTTTTTCGCATGTAATTTGTTTGTAATGAATTAAGTAGTTATTGATGGATCAGAATAAAGGAGAAGTTACATGCTTAAAATGTGTGTTTTGTTGTTGAAAGTGTATATTTTACAAAGGCGGGTCCAGACAAAAATCTGGGTATACGCCATTTGACGTGCGAAGCTTTAGCAGGGAAAGGGGATGTGGGGTGGTGCTTGGGATTTTTGTACATGGAATTAAATTTAACATTAGCCTGTTTTGGAGTACTGTGCACCACTAAGATTTTCTAATTTGCATATGTGTGAAAATTCCACCACCTAGGGGTATGGGGCTCGACACCCCACCACCCACCCCCCATTCTAAGTGCATTTAGGATCTGCATTTTTCAGGACATCCATACAAACCTTTTCACATTGGCATGAGCTGGCAGTGTATATGCATCTATTGGTCTTATCCAAAACAACAGATTTACAGTGTTAGTGCATGATCTTGCATTGATATTTTAAAGTACAGTACTGTAGATGGAAAATTTGGCTAAAAGATCATAAATAAATAATCTGTAGTATCATTACATTCATGCGTGAGGTTTAGGTTTTCTTTTACTTTTTGCTCTGTTTGTTTTCAAGGCTGGGTGGCAAAAGCGCCATAAGCACTGAATGGTGACGCCGGCGCTAGAGACAGTGGCATATCTGGAAGTCTTAAAATGGGGATGCTACAGTGGCGGCGCCAGCTTGGGGAGGGGGGGGGAGAAACAGAGGCTGAAGCCCCCACCGGACAGGTAAAGGGCGCCCCGCCCCCAATTGGACAGAGCTCGTCGGGCAGTCAGACTAATATATAAAAATAGGCCCACGCCAAGCCAACACTTGTTTGTCACAATCAGAGTGTCATTTCTGGCCATCCAGATGTTCCTATTCTTAAAAAATCACTTCTGGGAGGGGAACACCCTCTCAAACACTTCCCCTAGCTCGGGCCTACGAGCCCAAGTCCCCCTGTCGAACAGCTCAGTTCCCAGAAAATATATCCTAGAGAATGAAGTGGGTGGGTTGATGGGCGCTATTCGCAAAATAAGGTGATTTTTAACTACTTGACCGTGATTTTGTG